CCCCCCCCCCGCCTCACTACACTTTCAGTCTTGGCTTTTCCATCTGTAAAGCGAAGTCCTCTGCAGGCATGGGCCATCCCGTGAGGACACTGAGCACCCTGACGTCTGTCCTCTTAACTCTTGGGACCATTTCACATTTCTCTCCAAACATCTCTGATGTAGTTTGTTTTTATGGAGGGGGGGTTGAAACAGAATCTCTCTCTGTCCCCCTTGGTAGAGTTCCATGGCATGATCATAGCTCACAGCAACCTCAAACTCTTGGGCTGAAGCAATCCTCTTGCCTCAGCCTCCTGAGTAGCTGGGACTACAGGCACCCACCACAACACCCAGCTAGTTTTTCTACTTTTGGTGGAGACGCAGTTGTGCTTTTTAGGCTGGTCCCAAGCTCCTGAGCTCAAGCAGTCTACCTACCTCAGCTTCCCAGCGTGCTAGGGTTACAGGAGTGAGCCACCTCGTGGGGACACAGACCTAGTTTATTCAGGCAAAAGCCACTCACAAGGCTGCTACCCCACCTTCCTCACAATAAGGGCCCCAGGAGAGAACGCCTGATTTCTGAGCAGCCCCAGCCAACCCCCAGGCCTCTGCTGGCCACCAGGCTGCCAGAAGCTCAGAGAATAGAGAGGGAGGGACTGAGAACAACAAGGACCCTGCTGGGAGTCCCACCTGGCATGGATGGCAGCATTCTTGCCCCAGGCAGACAGAGTGGAGCTTCTGCTGGACCTGTCATGGTTTCTTGCTTTAAAACTGAGGCAAATATGGGCCGCGCCTGTGGCTCAAGGAGAAGGGCGCTGGCCCCATATGCCAAAGGTGGTGGGTTTAAACCCAGCCCCGGCCCAAAAAAAAATGAAAAAAAAAAAAAACTGAGGCAAATACAAAAAAATGTTAGCATTTGTCACATCTGTACAGCCAGCACGAGAAGGGCTTATTGCTTTCTGCATTTTTGTGTATGTTTGAAATAGTTCATGCTTTTTGCAAAGCAAGACTGTTGCTATGACTTTAAGTAGGCTGCTGGCAGGAGCCATGGAAAGAGAGGGTTTCAGGAATGCAGGGAGGTGCCCTGTGGGTGGGCGCTCCAGGGCTGTCCTTCCTATCCATCCACAGGCCTCTGAGGAGCAGGAGGGGCTGATTCTCAGGCATCAGGGACAGTGGCTAGGGCACTCCAGCCCCTCCCCAGGGAGGACCCTTGCTTCCTGCTGTTGGTTCTCTCAGGTCTTCTTCAAGGAAGGGACTCACAGCAACTATGGCCCTGGGTCCGCACCTGCCAGATGGCCTGAGATGGCTGCCTAGACGCCAGGATCCTGCTAGCGACTTGGGGGTACAGAAGGCAGGCCAGAGCCAAGGCTGGAGGCTCCTGAGCAAGGACAAGAGAGCCTCAGCAGGCCCCTCTCCTGGACGTGCCTGTCACTCAGATGCACAGCCCAAGGGCACAGTCTCACCCAGCCCAGTACCTTCACTGAGCCCACCCTCCTTATGGGAGCCGCTGCCCTGGACATCCCCACTCCCAGACGCCTCCTGCCCTTTCCACCAAGGCACAAGGGGGAAAGGCTTCTGGCTCCAGCTGTCCCCAACCCCTCTGCAGAGAGCAGCTCAGCTTCCGAGGCTAATTGATTAGTGTCACTAAAATGACTTCCCTAAGTGACAGGAGACTGGAAGAGGAAGCCTGTCCCTTCCCCAGGGGGCTCTTACATGGAACCCTCCTGGTCTAGCAAAATTGGATGCATCTGTGTATCACTGGTTCACCGCATGTGATTAAGTTAAAGGCATTTGTCCTATCTGGCTCAGAAAGCATAAAGCTAATCAGACTTGCCCCATAAATTGAAACCTAGTCACTACCAGGCTGGGAAAAAAAATTTTATGTTTTAATTTTCCAAAACACAGCAATGCAATGACCCTAATGTTGAGATTACTTGGTTTTCTCTTCCTTCCTTCCTTTTTCTTTTTTTTTTTTCTTTTTTGTGCCCCTCTGTCTCAAGCAGCCTCGTGGGTTTTCTTTGTCAGTCTCCTCTTTCAGGTTTAAAAGCAGGTGCTGGGTGTGAGCAGGGGCTGCGATGGACCCTTGGGCTTCCATGGCAACCAGGACCTAACCCTCATGCCTTCAGGATGAGCTCCAGACAGCAGCCGGGATTGTTCAAAATAGCTCCCCAGGCCCTGGCCTCATCGTTGTCTGTGCTATTAACAGCCTCTGAGTCCTAGGGCCCAGAAAAATGGAACTTTCTGGGTCTCTGCATTTCAGCCCGGGGCTGAGTTGGAAGAGGTTTCCATTGAGGAGAGACGAAGGATGATCCCTGTCCCGTCCCAAGCGCCTGGGGTCCCCTCTTACCATACTGTTCCCTGGCTCACTGCCACCCTGCACCTCTCAGACCAGGAAGGCCCTTTGATGGGTCTGTCCTCCCAGACATGGCAGGGCTTGCACCCGCTCAACCTCCGTGACAGCATCAGCAGTAAGGCTCTCCCCAGCCACCTGCCGTCACCTTCCCAACAACCCTTCCCACCTCTGCTGTCCTTGTCTGAGGAGCACTCAGGACCAACTGCAAACTGCATTTTGTAATTACTTCCACTTGCTTGCTGGATGTTTTATTCACCATTACATCCTCCTAGAAATGCGCTCACTAAATATCTGTGGATTGAATGACAAGCAAAGTAATCCTTATGCACATACTGTCACTGCTTCCAAAGGAAAAGTTTTAGCCCAGGAGGCGGACCAGGTTTCTCTAAGTAAGGTTGTGATGAGAGAAAAACACAACACCCGCAACATACCATTTGGGTTCTGAATTTACATCCAGAACCTTCTTCCTCTCACCCTAAGAGAACTCTATCATGGGCTCGGCGCCTGTAGCTCCGCAGCTAAGGTGCCGGCCACACACGCCAGAGCTGGTGGGTTCAAATCTAGCCCGGGCCTGCCAAACAACGACAACTCCCACCAAAAAATAGCTGGGCATGGTGGGCCCCTGTATTCACAGCTACTTGGGAGGCTGAGCCCAAGAGTTTGAGGTTGCTGTGAGCTGTGACGCCATGGTACTCTACCAAGGGTGGCATAGTGAAACTCTGTCTCAAAAAAAAAAAAAAAACCTCTATTATGGAAGGACTTTTTCTGTCCCTGAGCCCATGCCTGGCTGTTCCATGGAGATGGTTTGACAAGCTGGAAGAGCACAGGAGCTTGGCTCTTCCTGCTGCCAGACAGGGTGCAGTGTCTGAGCCGCCTGACACTGGAGGGACAGCTGTTTCTAGAATAGCAACTGAGAAAGAGACATTTGCTGGTATCATGTCCCCCTCACTTGGTCCCTGGAGTTAATGGTAGTTAGAAGGGACAGGCCGGCCAGCCTCTGTCCCCAGGGCTGGCCAGGGCTCTGCAGCTTCTCCCCAGAAGGATGTTCAACTTTTCTGTCCTGCCCTTCAATCCTCGCCTCCCCTGGCCTATGCTCCGGCACTGTGGTTCCTGCCTCTCCTCTGTCCAGCCCCAGGGGGCCATCACGGGCCTGGACAGCTGCCCTTTGGCTGTTCCTAGGTGGTGTGGGGTCTGTGCTCAGGAACCAGCAACTTCTGTCACGCCTATTCAGCAATAATGCTGTGCTAGGACTGCTGGGATGCATCCTGTGTCACTCACACGGCCCAGTGTGGGCTAGCTATGGCTTCTTCAGATTCCTAATAACTGGGGAGGAAGCCGGGAGGTCCTGGGTGCAGGCCCTGCCTCTCTGGTGCAGTGAGTGTCCAGCAGCAATGGGTTGGCCTCAGGGTGAGGGGAGAGAGTCTCCAGATGAGGCTGTGGGGAGGGACAGGAAGAGACATCCAGGACAGAGCCAGGGATAGTTTCCTCTGGGAGGATTTAATGGGAAGGTGTGGAATGAGGTGAGGTGTGGTCTGTGAGGCCCAGGCCTCTCGCACCAGGTGCTCCTTTAAAAGCTAACATAGGGAAAAGGACAGGGGAGTGTGTGGTCGGCCTGACCTTGTCCCCTCTCTGCAGGAGAGGCCTTCTCCTTTAAATACAGCCCTGGGAAGCTGAGGGGGAACCAGTATAAGAAGATGATGACCAAAGAAGAGCTGGAGGAGGAGCAGAGGTAAGCAGCTCCCCTGCACCCAGCTGCCCCAATGTCCTGCCCTTCCATGGAAGGGCCGAGAAAGGGGGCAGGCCTCCCCCAAGCCCTGGTAATAGCCAGGCAGCCTTTTGCACCCCTGGAGATGGTCCTCTGAGGCACAGGCTGGGAGGAGGCTGCTATGACGTGACCGGTGATGGGCACAGAGTCCATTTCTGCCCACCCCCTCCATCCCCCCACCTAAAAACAAAGAGATGCCAGGAAAGCCAGGAGCAGACCCGGCTGTTCAGTAATGCGTGGAGTCCATGACAAAACCAATTTATCACAGTGGACAGAACGGCTCCTGGGCCTCTCAGTGCTCATCCCTTCCACAGCCAGCCTCCCTCCCTCCCCACCCTGTGCCCAGGCTGCCTTTTATCTGTGGGCTCCAGGGAGCTCCCAGGCACTGCAACTGCAGCTTCTCCCACACACGTCTGGACACGCCCAGTCCTCCCCCATTTTCTCTCAGCTCCAGGGTTGAAGGAGGGCAACAGGACAACAGGGAGGTACAGGGGAGGCACAGAGGGTTGGACTGGGCTCTGGGTGCCGTGTGGCCAGGGGTCCTCTGGTTAAACCAAAGTCTAAACAGCAGCTGCACCATTTTCTGAACCTGCCAACCCAGAGGGCTTGTGGGGCTTGGCCCTTCTCCCAAGTGGAAGGTAGCAGTTTGGGGTTTAGTATTGGGCGATGCAGAACTCGGCAGCCACTTCCAGGCTGCCCACCAAGCTACTTGTCAGCCCTCTTGAGCACTCGGGCCATGAGAGCCCTGTTCCCCGCATCCCAGGTGCTGGCATCAGCTCTTCCAGCCCCTCCAAACCTCAGCTATTCCCCCTGGGGCAAGTGAGGGCTGCTATGTAAGGCCAGCCATGATGAAGACCCTGGTGGGAGCCCCCAACTCCTCGGGCAAAAACGTTGCCTCTTGGCATGACTGGGTTTGCTGCCTTTATATTTCAGGATTGAGCTGACCTCTGACCTCACTTCCCTGTAGCAAGTTCCTTAGGTCCTGAGCCACAAATATTCTTGCAAATCCTTTTGGTAAGGACCCTGACTCCTTAGACTAGTAGTGTTTCCCTCACACTGTCTGCTAACGTGTCCCCCAAACAACTGACGTGGTCTAGACCTCCCCCCATCGCCTTCATAACCAATTAATGCATTTCCCACCGAGCCCTTCCCTTTCTCAAGCACGAGGAATCGCTGACAGAGAAGACCCCTTTCGGGGGCAGAGGTTCTTGGAGACTGAGTTAAGTACCTGGTGGGCCTAATGGGCCAGCTTGCTGGGGGCCAGTGCCCACTGGGAGGCTGAGGGCACTGTCATCCCTAAGGGCTGTCCTGGACCTCAAGACCTGCAAGAAAGTGGATAGTGTCACCTTGTATCCTTGCTAGGGCCCCAAAGGTGAGGCAGTTGATTGAATGGTGCACAATAGACACCCTGAGTTTTGGGATAGGCGGGATTTTATGATCAGGGTGAGAGCTGGCAGACCACAGTAGGGGCCACATCTGGCCTGCTATCTGTATTGATCCAATGTGACTGGGACATAGCTGTGCCCATTCATTTACTTGTGGTCTGTGCCATCTCGCATGCACTGCAATGGCGGAGGTGAGTCACTGCAACAGAGACCACACAACCCACAAATCCTAAACTAGTACCTGGCCCTTTACAGAAAAAGTTTGCAGCCCCTGGACAGAGAGAACTTGGCACACCTGCCAGCCCTCAAAGGCCCCTGGGGAACTTGGCCTGTCTCTGCCCATGCAAGTAGATGGAAACTGTGGGTCTGGAGGGACTATTAGAATAGGAAAGACCTCAGGCTGGACATCAGACTGCCACTGCCACCCTGTGTTCAGAGCTGGGACCTTAGAAATGGGGAGAATCCTTTTTTCTGTTATTTTCAGAGAGCAGAGACTCTCCATTGCCCAAAGGGGCCTTTTCCCACTGAATCTTTGGGGGTCTCTAGAACACCAGTTCACACTTGGCTATTCTGTGGGATGAAGACTGTGCCCAAAGTGCTGCTCTTAAGAAGGGTATGAGGGGAGTCCCCGACTCATTCTGCACACACAGCTGTCACTTTGTGCTGAGTTGAGAAGGAGGGGCTGGTGGACTTCATAGGGCGGGGCCAGAGTTCATGTTCATTTCCATTACTGCCCCTGCCTGCATGCTCCCCTTGGCTTTCCAACATGCTGTGACCCCTGCATGCTCTCCTGCCCTGCCCTGTCCTGCCCTGCTGTGGTCAGACCCTATGTGGCACCACGTAGGGCCCCTTGGGGCCACGTTACTTGTCTCTCACACGGTGGTGCTTGGGGTTGCAGAGTCTGGTGAGTTTGGCTTTGTCTTTCATCTTCAGCACGATAGTCTCACAGGGGTTGGGAGAGCTAATGGCTGTTAGACACTTCTGGTCCCAGCTGAGTCCAGGGAGCTGCCCTGGACTGATCAGTACAGAAAATAACATGCATGTTATTGGCAAACTACTAAAACTCCAGGCCAGTGGCAGGGTCCACTCTTCTCTGCCTACCATATTCTCCCCAGCCCAGCTCTGTGCTACTTTCTGATCCCTCTCCTGGCACTCAAGGTTCCCAGTCAAGTTGCAAGCTTGCACCTGTGGCTCAAGGAGTAGGGTGCCAGCTCCATATACCGGACGTAGGGGTTCAAACACAGCCCGGGCCAAAAACTGCAAAAAAAAAAAAAAAAAAGTTGCAAGCTAGTTAGCAGATAAGTGCTGCGTGTCCCCTCACTGTATTGGCTCACCAGTGGATCTGTATCCTGAGCCTAAATTGTCAGTGGTTACCTGTCCCGGGGCTGCCCAGAAGCCTCTGGTTACAGCTTTCAGGGCATGACAGTGAGGAAGTGGGACTGGAGGCAGGAAATTCCATATCGGTTCTCCCACATGTCTGATGGGACCATCCCTGTCCCTAGCACTGCTCACAGATTAGATTCCTTCTGCAGGGGATAGTGGGGGTGGGGGGGGGCGGCAGTGGTGCAAACAGTGGTCTGGTCTGTAAATCCAGAGGCGGATGATGCTTAAGACGCTGCTTGCGGCTGTCAGCCCACTTCCTTGGGTCTCCCCTCGCTGAGATTCACACTCTTCACCAGCATTGGCTCTGCCTCTGGGGGAGGCCCTGGGTGCCCTGCAGCGTCTCTGGGAGTGCCACCTCCAACTTGAGAGTGTGGCTGGGCCAGTCACAGGCTGATGACAGCTGCCTGAGAAAGAGGCTAGTGAAGCTCTTAAGGGCATGGCTGTGTGCAGCTTGGCAGGAAGGAGAAGCATGGCTGTGGGCTCTTGCCCACCAGTTCTCCCACCTTCTGGCCCCAGGTTGTAGCCTGGGCTGGCTCTGGCAAGTCAGGCCCCCGGACCCACACCAAGGCCTTCCTTCTGTAAATGGACTCGGTTGTAGAGGAAAGTATTTAGCATCTCATGGGCTGGGAAGGCGGAGTAAGCACAGCTGGGGACAGGTCTCTGGTTCCTGAATCTGATGTGGTGAAGCCAGCCGCAGGCGCGCGTCGGCCCCGCGGCCGCGAGAGGGCGCCCTCTCGCCGCAGGGACGGGCCTGGCGGCCGCTGCGCCCCACACACTACACGCCCTGGGCCCTGGGAAGCTGCGCGCTAGGGAGCCAGAATCCCCAGAGGCGACAAGACCCAGCCAGCCGGAAGGGGATACTGGCTAGGGTGACAGGAACGTCGCCAGCACAACCACACAGCCAAGCATCAGAAAGCCCCGCGACTCACCTGCCCGCGTCCCTAAAATACCTCGAAGAGGGCTGAGCGCAGGTCGCGGGGCTGCAGGGTTCCAAGCAGGACCCGCCGGCTTTGCGGCACAGACTATCTTGCTGCAAGAGAAGCAAACTGCCAGGCGGTTGAGAAACCTTGGCTTCTGCAATTCCAAACATTCTCCTTCCTCATCCCAGTTTCCCCTTTTCCTCTCCCTTGGTACATGAAAGATGAGATGAGTAAATTACCTTTTTTTTCCCTATTTCTCTCTACAGAACTGAAGAATAACGAAGTTATCCTTAGCCTCCTCCTAAAGGCCTTTTCCTTTTGGCATCTTAAAAGCTTGAGATTAAATGGAAACCCCCAGAAAGGTGCCCAGGCAGCTCCGGGGTGTGTCCTGCCTCCATGGATCTGCTGAGCCAGAGACCCTCAGTCAGGACTTTCCTCTTGTCTAGCAGGGTCCGGGGACTGCCTTTGACTCTGCCCTGCTTAGAGTCATTTGTCCCCATGTATGAGGGTTGCTTTGTTAAGCTGAAGGATTTTAAGAGCCCCTGGAGTTTGATTTTTCTTACCACTCAGATTTGCTCCCCACACACCCTTTAAACCTTAGCTCCCACCAAATTCCAGCAGCTTCTACATGTTAAAACCAGAGTATGGGTTCATTCCAGCCCTCCTGTGCTCTCACTGAAGCCAGACCATGAAAGACTTTGAGGTCCGACAGACAAATGAGGCAGAGCTCACCTGAGCTGACCAGCTCCATCAGGGATGGTGGATGTGCCTCTTCCGGCTGGGGGTGCCATCCTTCTTTCTGGCTGGCTCAGTTGTGGGAGGGGAGGTGAAGACACCATATTGATTACTGGGCAGCAGAGAAGCAGTGCCAGGAACTGACTTGGTCATTGTTCTGATTTTTTATCTAGAGGAGGTTTGGATCCAGCCTTTTCTTCACTGATCTTATCAGCTTAGCCAAATCTCCACCTTTGCTTTGGCAGAAGCAATAATAATGTTAGCTTAAAATAGATCTGACTATACCTCTTCCTAGAGGGTTTCATAGATTATTAAGAACTTCACCTACATAATCAGATCAGTACCAGATTTGGTTTCTTGGAATTTTATATTTGACAATATTTATACTATATCAAATAAATTTGTTTAAATTTGTTGATTAAATCTTTTTTTAAAGCAATAAGTTTATAGAAATTTTTTTCATTAATGGAAGGCAGGGAAATGTCCACTGTCCACTCTTGGGGCGTGCATTCCCAGTGGCCTTCTCTCTTGGGCCTTAGGTTCAGGGCTTAGAGCAGAACAAACAATAAAAGAACAGCCACGTAGTAAATGCCTGCTACACAGAGCCACGTGATAAAGAGAGAATGTACTCTTGTGTACCCAAACAGCAATCATGATGGCCTGTCCAGGCTAGGATCTTACTGTTATAATGAGTAGCGACTCCCTCTGAGTGTAATTATCTAGGTTTATCTGGAAACTTTCTGATCATTGAGGCCTATAGGCACCAGGCCTCCTGTACTCCTGATGGCTTAGAGCTCTGTAATCAGCCTTTGTTCAGTCCAATAAACTTTGAGTAGATGATCTCGATTACTGTGTGTTTTTTCAGTTTGCTTTGTTTTTTAAAAAAATAACCTCTTTTGAGCTCAGCACCTGTGGCTCAAGTGGGTAAGGCGCTAGCCACACACACCTAAGGTGGTGGATTCAAATCCAGCACGGGTCCGCCAAACAACAATGACGGCTGAAACCAAAAAATAGCCAGGCGTTGTGGCGGGCACTGTGGTCCCAGCTACTTGGGAGGCTAAGGCAGGAGACTCGCTTGAGCCCAGGAGTTGGAGGTTGCCGTGAGCTGTGATGCCACGGCACTCTACCCAAGGGGACAGCTTGAGGTTCTGTCTAATAATAATAATAATAATAACCTCTTTTGAATCCATGTAAATTTGAGCCCACTTTTCATTTTGATGCCTCACTCTCCAGTAGAGTAGGAAGTCATAGGTCCACCCTGTTAAAAATATACAAACATCCCAGCCCTCAAAACCACTTGAAATAAGACCGATGTGGGGGCTCATGCCTATAATCCGAGCACGCGGGGAGACTGAGGTGGGTAGATTGCTAGAGCTCAGGAGTTCATGACTAGCCTGAGCAAGGGCGAGACCCTGTCTCTTAAAAATAGCCAGGCTCAGGTGGCTCCTATGGCTCAGTGAGTAGGGTGCTGGCCCCATATACTGGAAGTGGTGGGTTTGAACCCGGCCCCAACCAAAAACTGCAAAAAAAAAAAAAACAAAACAAAACCAGCCAGGTGTTGTGGAGGTGCCTGTAGTCCTAACTACTCAAGAAGCTGAGGCAAAAGAATCTCTGGAGCCCAAGAGTTTGAGGTTGCTGTGAGCTATGACACCAGAGCACTCTACCAAGGGCAACAAAGTGAGACTCTGTCTCAAAAAAAAAAAAAAAAAAAACCACATGAAATAATTTATGTTCACTCAGGGAGATGCCCACACATGCATCAGGATGTGATTCC